CACTGGTTCTATCAGTAACTGTTGCAGAGACGTGACTGGGACAAAAGATAAAAACACACACTTTTATTCACACCACAGCAAAGATAAAACAACCTTAACAATACAGAAATAAACGTAAAACAAATAAAACACGCTGCGGAGTCTTGATTCCTCGTAAATCCCCCAGGCAGGGAGGCAATATGCGCTAGAAGGGGACACAACCACACGTTCAAAAGGTACTACCCGGCCGCTAGCGCTAACAAATCACAGCATTACCACAAACCTAAAACTAAACCCACACCGCACGAATCACACACAAACCCGAGCGGCCTCTTATACCCAAGGCTTCCACCCCACAGAGTATACGGCCACCCCCAGCCCACAAGGCCACCCAGACAAGAACCACAGAAAACAATCCGAATCAAAGCAAAAAGAAAACATCCAACCAAACACAAACTCAATAAATTTATACATCAAACAAAACAAAGAAACAATCCTTAATTATCCTAAAATACATCCATAAAATAACCCAAACATATAAAAAAACCACAAATATCAAATAAAACCCGTGGTCCGAATAAAATGTATAAGACAAACCAAGGCAAAGCAGCAGGGCGGAACAATAGCAAGACGGTAGGAGCAAAGCAACCAGGCAAAACGTAATAGAGAAACAAGACCAAATGGCCACCAAACAGCAGCTACACAGCAGAACAGGACAGCAGCCACACAGCAGAGCAGGGCATCAGTCAAGCAGCAGGGTAAAGCCGCGAGGTACAGCGGCAGGGCAGCACAGCCTAGAAGTAATCATAAACCCCATAAGCACCTCTCCAGCTAATCACATTACCGCAACCTAAGTTTACTTTACCCAATCCGGAGACCAGATTCACTCTCCCCACACACCACTCCAACCGCCCTGTACTCGATACCTACAAAAACATGCAGGAATTAATAGGCTGCTTTACAATAGATAGCGACACCCAAAATTACTCATCTCCTACCTTTCGCCCACAAGCCTCGCAAATACCTCCGCTTACGTTGGCCCAAATTGACACCAGACACTTGCCCACACCAGTCTAAACGTCGCCCTTACGGCAGC